TGGTTGTTCTCTTCAAGCCTGTTTCGTGTTTCTATTTTCTGTGCCATTCCTGCTTTGTAGATTACTGCTGTTTCTATTAGCCTGTGTGGTATCCTCTGTTTCGGAAACTGTCTTCATGTAAGCCCGCCTCTCTTGATTAGCAGTGTAACTTTATGTTTTCTGACTGAGTTTATACGTTTTTCTGGACTCCTTCGAAACTTGCCCGTTCTTGGCATGCTTGCTGCCTTTTTGCAGCCCTGACGACTTCCTCCACTTTTTCTTCAGGCCCAATCACTCTTTTGCCTTTGTTACTACTCTAAACTTATGTTCTCGGCTTTTTCCACTAGTACATCACCTGAATAATCAATAAGAGTGGTTTGAGTCGTCCAGTGATTGTCACCTGATATGTTTGAAATAGTTCTGGATACATTTAGGCTTTATTATACATCTGCGGTTGCTATTCAAGAGCAGGGTCTTGAATTATGGTCATTTTGAACTACAATGAGTTTGAAATAGAGCAAAATTGTGACCCGTTGGTGTTTGATGTGCTTAAAATCTGCTTAACGATATTTCCTGAAAGATAAGAAGCGGTTAAAAGTCCTACTGAGCTGTGCCGCTTTAACTTTGTAACTTTTCAGTCATGAAATCAGAAACATGGTGATGGTGAAACCCCATCACATTTCATTTTTATCCATGCCAACCGCTGATACTCTTTGACAGTTCATTGTCATCTAATCAATTCGATAGATGTTTCAGCCGATGATTGTACCCAATAAAAATCTAGTACTGATAAATATACCACCGTTTCACTCCATATGTGCACTTAACATTGTTCCCCTACAAGGAAATTTGCAAATTTATTTCATCTTCTTATCATTCATCTTCCATCGCCGCTGCTCCTTTCGGATTGCAGAGGCAGACACGTCAGACAGAGCTTGCAACGTTCCCGATCCTGTGCCAGAGTCTGAGCTTCGGCAAAAGACAAATGCAGTCTGGAAAAGATTCCTTCTATATGTTTGTACCAGGTTAATCTTGGCCGTCCCCTGGGCTCTCTACCGGTCGGATTTGCAAGGGACAATTGCTTAGCCTTCCTTTCTGGAGGCATTCGCAACACATATCCAAGACATCGCAGCTGTGACTTCTCAATCTGGAGAAGCAAAGGTTGTATACCAAAGCTCTTCCGGATATCCCTATTCCGGAACATGTCGAGACGCGTAACGCCAGCGACTGGTCTAAGAAAGCCCATTTCAGCAGCTTGTACCCGGGTTCGAAATTTCTCAGCGAAAGTCCACGATTCATGATCCTAGGTAAGTACGGAGATAAAGATCGACTTGAATATCAAGAGCTTAGTTCTCAAACTGAGCTCTGCTTCAGTCACAATGTGTCCAGCAATTTCACGCAGAACGTCACTGGCTACTCCAATTCGCCGGTCGATCTTTTCCTCCAATTTTTCGTCACTAGCAAATACAGTTCCGAGGTACTTGAGCTTCTCCCCTGCTCAACTGCCCCTTCTTTAATCTGAAGAGAGCACCAGACTTTTAATTTTAGATGCGTTCACACGCATGCCGGTAACGTCGCATTCCGCTGCGAACCTTTCTAGGGAGCACTGAAGATCAGCTTCAGAAGATGCTAATAAAACAACGTCTTCTGCAAACAGCAACCTTTGCAACTTTACCTCTCCTACACCGATACCCTCATCGCTTTGGCAGCTCCTGACTATTCTATTCATGTACAACACAAACAGGATAGGGCACAGGACGCAGCCTTGGCGGAAACCAGTGCGAACGTTGAATGGTTTGCACTTAACGCCATTAACTCTGACGCAACCTGCTATCAGAATACAGTGATTGGATGGCCCTTAGCAGCTGGCCATCAATCCCGTATGCACGAAGGCA